CTGCCTCGGATATCCGTGGACACAGAGCAGCCACCCTAGGGACGCCACCTGTGGCCGGCTCTAGTCTGGGTCTCTGCCACTCTTTGGCTGAGGATGTTTCACCGTGGTTGCCTTTGGAACCTGGAGGGTGTGTGTGTGGTGGGGAGGAGGGGGTGGAGGGGTGTGACCTTCTCCTAAGACGGGCTGGAATGAGGGAGGAGTGCAGCAGTTTGTCGGGGCTGCCATATAAAAGCACCACAACCCCGGGGGTGTGAACAACAGAAGTGTGTTCTGTCACCATTGTAGAAGCTCAAGTCTGGATCAAGGGCCTCAGGGTTGTTTCCTTCGGGGGCCACCCTCCTTGGTCTGTTGTTGCCCTCTTCCTTGGGTCTTCATAGGGTCATCCCCATGTATACATCTGTGTCCTGAGCTCTTCCAGTCTGGACACCGGGCATATAGGATTAGGGCCCACCCCAATGACCTCATTTTAACTTAATTACCTCTTTCAAGATCCTAACTCCACAGAGCCACATTCCCAGGTACCAGAGGTTACGACTTCAAAGCTGTCGCAATTTGGGTCATAACAAGGAAGGAAGGGAGTCCGTGCACAACACTCTCCTTTATAGAAAGTAGAAAAGGGAAATACTGGGTGGGCATGCAAAAGGGTCTGTGCAGTGGGGAGGGAAGGAACTCCAGGTGAACACATCAAAACTGTCAAATGGTGGAAAGTGCTTTTAAAGGGACGAACCTAGGGCTAGGTCATCAAGACAGACCGGAGAGGGGTGAGTGGCATTGGCTCGGGTGGTTGGGGGAGGGGGAGATTTGAGAGCCCACCCAGTGGACAGCAGAGGGAAGAATCAGCCAATACAAAGCCCCTGAAGTGGGCACGAGCATGGTGGAGCCCCGGGCAGAAAGAAGCCTGGTGCATTTGGGAGCATCGTGACTGGTGGGGATCAGCGGAGGTCCAGGAGGTCAGCAGGGGCCAGGTCACTGAGGTTGCACTAAGATTCACTCATATTTCGACAAACACAGTGATTATGATTGAACATGGGGTATGTGGATATGTGGAATTACCACGTGGCTAGGGAGCTCTGCAGAGGTACATCTGTCCCGTGGGCACAAGCTGCCCAAACCACCGTAGAACCAGCGCTGGCATGAGGAAGACTCCCCAGAGGGTCATGTTCTTTCTCCGTCAGTTATCCAGGCCCAGCCCCTAACCAGGTGTGGCCTTCCTATGGGTAGGAGGCTGGAATGAAAGAGTGGGTACAGTAAATTAACTTCCTGCTTGGGATCCCAGCCAGGAGTGGGCACCACACTTCATAGAAGGAGCTTGGCCTGGGTTGGGGAAAAAAAATGAGTCTAAAAAGCAGCAGTCTCTGTCTACAGAAACACATCTGATTACTCAGCCAACTGTAAGAAAGGAAAGGAAGGGGCCACTGTTGTGGTGCAGCAGGTTAAGATGGTGCCTGTGATGCCAGCATCCCATCTCAGAGCCAGTTCGAGTCCCATCTACTCTGCTTCCACTCCAGCTTCCTGCTAACGCACCTGTGAGGCAGCAGAAGATGGCCCAAGTCTCTGGGCCCCTGCCACCTATGTGGGGGACCCAGGTAGAATTTCAGGCTCCTGGCTTCAGGCTGGCCCAGCCCCGGCTGTTTCAGCCATTTAGGGAGTGAACCAGGAGATGGAAGATCTCTTTCTTTGTTTCACCCTCTCTCCCTGTCATTTTGCCTTTCAAATAAATAAAATAAATCTGGAAGGAAGGAAGGAAGAAAAAAATAGAAAGAAGGCAGACTATTGTCCAAGTGTCACCATGTAGGTTTTTGAGTCCTGGCATAAGCAAGCAACGTATATGATAGAGTCCACTTCCCCTAAAGAGTATATTTAAAGGTTTTCCTGGGGATAAGGAATCTGATTTCTAAGACCAAATTTTTCATCAGAAGATAGATTCAGAAAGTTCTGTCAGCCCAAACCAAATTCTCATAAAGTCAAACTCTCTTGTTTGAAAGTCAGCTGACAGTTCCTAAGCTTTGCCAACACTGGATTCTGTTGGAAACCTTCCTTGTTACAGGAGCTATGCCAGGATGTGGGCTGTATTTCCCATTAGGTTTTCTGTAATAAGAACCATTTCAAGCACCAACTTCTCCGTGAACTGGTCCTGACCCTTCCAGTGGTCCCTTCTCCCAGACTCTGATCTTGGCAAACCTGCAGGACCATGCATATGGGATTCTTTTTGCTCTGTTTCTCCTATTGTCCAAGGTATCCCCTTATGACACATGAAGATCTTACCTCCCAACTTGAGGATAAATCCTATCTTAGCAGGGACATTGTTTGCAAGGAACATTCAAAAGAGCTCACACAAAGGAGGACAGAAAAGACACAGGGCTGTCTGATAAAACCCGCAGGCTGGAAGCCAGGTTCTGTGTGGCATGGGAACCCTAAGCAGGAATCCAGCAGCGGTGGTTTGAAAACATGGCCCTGAAACCCTTTCAAACCTCTCCTCCCAGTTCAACCCAGTGCTTACCCACTGGCGCACGTCCACTTCCACTTCCCTTTTTTCCGTGCTGTTCGTGATTACAGCAACCAGCAGATTTTGGCAGAGGTGACCCAACGTGACTCCTGAGACTGGGTCATAAAAGGCCACGCAGCTTCTGCCTTGTTCTCTGGAACACTCATGCTAGGAACCTGAGCCACCCTGGCAGAAGTTCAACTCCTCTGAAGCCACCATGGCCCTGAGAAGGCTGAGCCGCGTGGAGGGTCCAGGATAGATTCTCCAGTTGTCAGTCCCGGTCTTCGAGTCATGCCAGCCCAGACCAGCCATTCCTGGTTGTGGGAAGAGAAGACACTGTGGAGCAAATAGAGCCCATCCCCATACTCGAACTCAACTCCTGGCCCACAGACCCCATGATAATCCACAATAAATCCATTATTTTAAGCTACTGAGGTTTGGAAGTGTTTTATGCAGCCATAATAACCTTTGGAGCCTAAAATTAGTCTCTTTCCCTCTAAGTCCTCGTGATCTATTGTTTGCTCTCGTCCCATGTCAGCACCACTGTTCTCTGCAGACAAGCCGACGTGATGTCTTTCCCTTGTGCACATGAGCTCAATGCGGTCCTCCTGGGCTATCTCATTCAGACACCCAAGAGAGATTCTGAGTCACCATTTCAACACCTAGGAAATGGGATGCAACTGTCAGCAGACACAGTTACAGGCTTTGCAACATCCAAGCTACATGTATACATGCTGTGCAGACCTTTGTTGTATACTGGCAGCTGTCATTGCTTTCGTGTTGATGACATTCATCCCTCCTTGCTTCACACATTGCTTACACACGTGTCTTCTGTCTCCCCTGCTACAACTTCAGTATCTCTGGCCTTTTTTTTTTTTTAAGATTTATTTATTTGAAAGTCAAAGGTACAGAGGGAGAAGATAGAGAGGTCTTCCATCCACCGGTTCACCCCCAAATTGTGAGGAGTCAGATGGGTTAGTGGAAGTTAGTGGAAATTGGGGTGCAGATCCTTAGGAATCTCCCAGCTTTACCATGAGAACAGCAAGGGGGTGGCGATTCCATCCTCCTGAGCTCAGTTTACAGTGAAAACAAGTTACCTGCCTCACCCTTCTGGATGGCTTTAAAAAAAAAGATTTATTTAGGGCCGGCGCCGTGGCTCAATAGGCTAATCCTCCACCTTGCGGCGCCGGCACACCGGGTTCTAGTCCCGGTCGGGGCGCCGGATTCTGTCCCGGTTGCCCCTCTTCCAGGCCAGCTCTCTGCTATGGCCAGGGAGTGCAGTGGAGGATGGCCCAGGTGCTTGGGCCCTGCACCCCATGGGAGACCAGGAAAAGCACCTGGATCCTGGCTCCTGCCATCGGATCAGCGCGGTGCGCCGGCTGCAGCGGCGGCCATTGGAGGGTGAACCAACGGCAAAAGGAAGACCTTTCTCTCTCTGTCTCTCTCTCTCACTGTCCACTCTGCCTGTCAAAAATAAAAAAAAAAAAAAAGAAAATGTCTAAAAAAGATTTATTTATTTATTTGAAAGTCAGAGTTACACAGAGAGAGAAGAGAGGCAGAGAGAAAGAGAGAGAGGTCTTCCATCCACTGGTTCACTCCCCAGATGGCCCCAATGGCTGGAGCTGCACTGATCCAAAGCCAGAAGCCAGGAGCTTCTTCTGGGTGTCCCACGTGGGTGCAGGGGCCCAAGCACTTGGACAATCTTCCACTGCTTTTGAAGGTGCATTAGCAGGGAGCTGGATGGGAAATGGAGCAGCCAGGTCTCGAACCAGCACCTGTATGGGATGCTGGCACTGCAGGTGGCAGCTTAACCCACTGCCTCACAGTGCTGGCCTCATGGCCATTTTATCACTCATTGTATCTTCAGCAACTAGTGCCTAGAGTGCAGCAGTCATTCAGGAATATTTATGCAGCTTATAAACGCTCTGAGACTTTCCTGTGTACAAACTAGAGGTCATCAAAGTTCATCTTTCAACCCTGAAGTGGGAGCTTGGGTAAAGCTGAGTCATTGGCTGGGGGAAAAGTGACTCATCCAAATCTCCGACATCCTCCTGTCTCTCCTTGGGCTTGGGCTCAGATTCCCCATAAACCCATCAACATCGCTGTGACTCTGAGATGAGATAGGATCTTGTTTTCTGCCTATTTTCTTTTTGGCTTGCTAGCATGGGGGTGGGTGTTGCACTTTCAAAATGAAGTGAGTTTTACAAGTCATCCCAAATCCCAGCTAACTTCTCATCACTCGAGAGTCCATCATCTACTTGGCCTGTCCTGCATCCATTCTGGTGTTTGCTGGTTGCCACTCAGTGTCCAAGACAGGCTGGGCTAGCTGAGGGTTGGGTGCCACTCCGGCTTCTCTGTCCATTCACAGGAGGACCTGGTGCACAGGGCAAGTGCAAGAACCAAGGACACCTTTGACTTAGGAACAGGAGTTCTTACATTGCTGTCGGGGATGGAACATTCCACAAGTCTTACGGAGGAAAAACTGACCCCAGAGACATGATGGCAAAACTATTAAAAAAAGACACACGCATATTGCTGCAATATTTTTAATAGTAAAGGACTGGAAACAACCCAGTCAGTCAGGAGTGACTGGCTGAATAAACATTGGTATGTTCTCAGAACAGAGCACTTGATAATAGAGAATATACGATATGGTTCTATGGAGTGATACCCAATGCATTGTTAAGCAAAAAGAGAATCAAAGTCAACAAGAGCGTGGAGTACTATGCTTCCATTTCTCATTTGCTTTACATTTTTTTTTTAACATGGAAGGGTAAAAGGGAAAAAAGTTATTATCTGCAGCAAAAGGAGGAATTAGGGTGGAAGATGGGTCAGAAGATGGACTTCTCTGAACACATCGTAGTTTTTGGATTTGACTTTGGAACCATGTAAACAGTTACAGAATCATAAACCAAAATTAGAATTAAAAAGTCATCTCTAAAAATTTCAGCAAAATGAAGTGAAAGAATCCTGATTATAGTTTGGAGCATAACCACAGAGAGAGGATCTAGTACGAGTGACTTTCAAACAGCAAGTGCCCAGTACGCCCTCCTTGGCAGAAAGCACGAGAACCATTTTACCCTGCTCTCAGTAGTATGCTGGCACTGTTATTCTGAGAGTTTTTAAAAGTGTGTACTGTGATGTGAGAAGGAGTGCATCTCTGTGGTGGCTTTTAACAGCTTTTAGAATGAGACGAAGGAGAGCAGAGAAAGGACTAGTGAACTTATACACAAACAAAACAAACACAAAAAACCCACTGTGGTCCTCAGTTGAACTGAAAGTACCAGCATAAACTCAGGTGGTGTTTTATGTTTGAAAAATGGAAATTTAAGAACTACTGAAAGTCCATACTTGTCTTTCCTAGCTCTGTCCACTGCAGCCTAGAAGCAAAGTCCCTCACCGCGAGCAGTGAGTAGCCCTTGCACCCAGCTCTGATCTCTAAGGACCATTCCCCTCTAGAGGGGGCAGGGGGTTCCCTGGGAAGGGAGGGGATGGCTGATTTAGGGCAGGCGCAGAAAATACACAAGGTGAGCCTGAAACACCTTGTTACTCAAGATAATCAGGAAACTTCCAAGGACTACTAGGGCTGTGTCAAACAGAATCAGCCAATTGGAAGCAGCTCCCAAGGGCCAAAAACAGGACAATCTAAGCAACAGTGAGGAGACAGTGGTTGAAGCGCATCAACCATGATCTCATAATGTACTCAGAGAAGAAAACAGCTCTCACTGGACATCCTGAGGAGATGCCAGAGAACAAGCTCGTTTGGAGAGCTGGAAAGCGAAGGGGGAAGAGTCAAGAACTGCCCTTGCTCTGCCTCCGTCGTGTAACCCAAATCTCAGAGCAGCCGAATAACCGAGGAGAGGATGTTTCTTTTTATAAAGTACATCAGCCAGTCAGTGAACAAGATCCAAACCATAGCACCGGAACAGTAAGTGCAGCCTCTCCGCACGCGACGAGCCTCTGCCGTAACCACGCACAGCTCTCCTGCTGAGGTACCATCACCACCAGTAACACGGTCTCTCCAAAACAAACCGAGCTTGGATTGTATTACACCTGTAGGAACAACTGCCGATGCAGAAAAAAGAGAGAGCTAGAACAGAGGTCCAGGTAAAAAGATGCCACAGAGAGACACTCAGCAAAGAGAGACCGTGAGAAATTCTGCAGCGGAAGAGACCTGTCCATAAATGACAGGGCACGAGTCGTCTAGCTCAGGCAAACAAGCCAAAGAACCCAGAGGCCACTCGGAGAAATTGCAACAGTGACGATATTTGAAGGTGTTAAAGAATTACTGTTAATTCTTTCAGATGGGGATGGTATTGCGGTTATGCCTGTTTTAAGGGTCTTTCCTTTGCAAGAAACATGCTGAAATTTTTACAGATGAAGCGACATGACGTCCAGGCTCTCCTGCAAGATCCTCAGGAGGCGGCCCGAGAGCCGATGAAGCGCGGTTGGCCGAGTGCTCAGCGTTGAGGCTGGTGATTCACGCACACGTGGGATTCATTATCCTGGTCTCTCCAGTTTTGTACATAATTGCAATTTTACATAACAAAAGGTTTTCAAGGCCCCCTTGCATAACAAAGAACCATATTACCTGGAAAGGAGTGTAAATTAATATCTGTTAACCACTAACTGCCTGGCTCAGCACAGGTAGGAGCTATGAAAGGACAAAGCAGAAGTTGGTTTCCACGGGGGCGGGGGCGTAGAGAGGACATTATCGGGGGAAGGGCCCAGCCACGCCCCACAAGCGAGGATCCCAAGCAGTCAGGCATTCAGACTGTGGTGCCATCTGGGGGACAGGGCTTGGTGTGTAACTCCACACATGGGAAGCTGGTTTGATCAGGGCAGAGCTGAGTGATGCAAACCGTTGCTTTAGATTGGGCCTGGTTGGCATGAAGGTCATGACCATACCCCAGTTTAGGTGGGGCACCTGCTCTGTAGACTTCCAAACCACCCCTGCCTGCTGGGAGGGTCAGGCTTGTCCCTGTGAAGCAGCCCCAGCCCCAGCAGGAAGGAAGACCCCATCATGGTGACATCTCACTCTCAGGAGCACGCCCAGGTCCTCGGACTCTCCCACCAGACCCGGGACAGGGGCTGGGTGGTGTGCAGGCTGCTGACCCACCGTAGCACCATTTGAAGATATAAGACTGTGGATAATGTTCTAGTAAGTTCTTGCTGCAACCCAGAAAGGCAGGTTCGCAGGCCTTTGTTCTGTTGTCCGAACAAGGCTGCAGCTGAGCCCATGGGAAAAAGACTATTGCAAATGCAACTCTTAAATGTGGAAAAAAAAAAAAATAGGACACGGATAAAGCTTCCTAGAAACCACCTTCCTCTGGGGCCCAGTGGCTTGACAAATGACACACTTCCTCCAGCCCGATCTTATAGCAGGGCTAACACAATGAGTTTCACAACAAAATCTGGGTGAGGAAACCTCACCCATAGCTGAACATGGACTTGGGCGCTGAAAATGTCCTGACGGCCCAGCTGGCTTTTAAGTTTTCCCTTGAGTGGTCTCCCCGCTACCCTGCCTCACTCTCAGCCCTGGCCAGCGTGTGCCTTCCTCAGGTACCTGGAGGACGTCACTCCTGGCTTCTCCCATCAGAAGTGGAAAGCTGTGGTAGAATCAATAACAAAGTGAGTATTTTCTAAGTGTCCTGTGGCCCGAGGTCCCCCTTACCAACCTCCCACGTGGCCAAAACAAATTTGCATCGGTGGAGCCTCTGTGTGCTTCTCCCTCCTTCATGTATTCCAGTGTGTCCATCCGAGAGAGGAAGAGAGCCAGCTAGCCCCTCCTGGAAGGAACCGGCTCTCACGCAGGGAGAGGGCAGGGGGCCGCGTGGATGGAGCAACAAGTGTCCGTTCTATGGTTATAATCGTAGGTTTGTTTTGAGATGGGATTTCTCAAAAGGGAAGGAATTCAGGCAGACTCTGCGCCTTCCTGTGGCTTCCCTGGGTGGGGGTCACAGGCCCCTTCATGGACCTCCAATGAGACGCCCAGCGGGTATGTCAAGGGGATGCAGACAAGAACCACACGATGGGTCTTGGGAGGAGGCTCCACCCCCTAGCATGTGTACGGGGGCACGGATGGACCCCCCAGCATTGCTGGAACCACGTGATTCCTCACGAGGCTTGGCTGTCACAATGCAGAAGGGCTGACAATCATCTCAGACACACCATTGGCTTTTCCCTCCCCCTTAGAGTTCAAACTCGTGGCGCCACGCACACGCTATTTTGGAAAGCTGCCTGTGCCCTGAAAAATAAGGAAGGTTTGAAGAAGTTAGTGCATAATCTAAGGGGAGAAGGGCCTTAACGCAGGACCAAAAACCATGATGGCAGCAGTTTGGGTACTGGGTCTGCCCTCCTATGCCACACCGTGGGGCAGTGCTGCCCTAGAATCCTGGGTGAACAGGCAAGTAGGCTAGTGTGAGGGACAGAGCTCTGTGACAACACCCACAGCGGAGTCTTTGGGGATGAGCCATCAGCCCAGATCTCCAGGCTGGGTGCTCCCAGGGTACCTTAGAAGTCATAGGGGGACACAAAGATGGTGACCTTGGACACGTGGTTGGCCTGGAAGGAGCGGTCCTGATACTCTGACATGTCAACGTCCACCTCCAGCGTCTGTGGCCCCTCCAGGGTCTGGACGAGGATCAGCTCCCCAGTCTGCCGGTCGGAGCGCTGCATCACGAAGTGGCCGCGGCTGTTCCCGCCCCCGATCCCAAACCGCAGGCTGTTGGGCCCAGGGCGGCCAGGGGCTGAGGCCGTGGCCATGCGGAAGAGCGTGATGGGCGTCCTCAGGTTGGAGGGCAGAGAGAGGTAGTGGAAGGAGATGGTCTTGGGCATGTGGCGGCAGGGTCTGCTGTCCATAGGGCAGGGGTTTCGCTCACACTGGCTGGAGCAGAGAGGCAAGAAGGAGGCAGTCAGCTGGGCGGGAAACTCCAGTGGTGTTGCTCTGCCTGCCTGCCCTCCCCCGCTCTACTGTAGAGAACATCCGGGTGTCCCTTCCCAGCCATGGGTCCTTCACCCAAGAGCTCCAGAGCTGCAGGCAAGTGAATACGCCTAGGGCAGCCACGGCCAAGGAGCAGGTGCTCCCCTGACCTACCACTGTATATATGGATGTAGTATGTATGTATGTGTTTTTGTGTCTGTGTGCGTGTGTGCACGCAATAGAGAGAGAGAGAGAGAGAGAGAGAGAGTGCATGTGTAGCTTTCCCAGGAGAATACAGCCTGGGAATAATAGTGGCAATGCTCGTGTGCAAACAGGTGCCTTTCCTGCCTGTGCCGAGACCCCTCTCCGTGTGATGGGATCCCAGCGAGTAGCTGGCACACCCTGCAATGGGGAGTTCCACACATGGTGAACTTTGCAAATGCAACAGCCGTTGCTGGCTGAGTAGGAAACCCTATCTTTTTTAACCAGGGTTTTCTGGAAACACTTTCGATGTTTCTCTACCTTATCAATCATAAGCGACAAACACAGTTTAGCAGACTGGGTGCTTCTGCACCACTGTGATTGCACAGGCCAAGTATCACATCTGGCTGTGAATCCAGGGTCCCCAGAGGCTCTGCCAGACAGGTCTCCTGTGCCTGCACTCAGCGACTCCTTGAGGAAGGCGCCCCCTTGAGGAAGGCGCTGGTGTCTTCCCTCTAATAACGGCCACTTTCTTGCTGCTCCGAATCTGCTTTAGTCCAAATAGCAAAGCAAGTAAGTAAGGCTGCAAAGTCAGTTCTCTGCATTTTTAAAAACAGCTAGGTTCTCTCGGGATCTCTTTTTGGAAAGAAAACGCGTGTGCTTTGTGATAGTTGTAGTCATTCTCCTTAAAGACCCCTCTCCCAATGTTTAACTAAGTCTATGTCCTTGTTAAGCGCTGACGTTAAACAAGATGTTGACCCTTCTAGTGGCACTGGAAGAGAGGGATGAGAGAATGCAGGGTGCCCGGGGTCTGCAGTGGGGCTGGAGCTACCACTCAGCAGCTATGGGAACGTGAGAACACGGTCCTCTCCCAAACCAGTGCCACATACACCTGCCTCTGGGGCTGCTGGGGGCATTTCCCAAGGTGACATCACCTCCAGCTTCTCCCCCCTCCACCAGCCCTGGCATGGCTAAACGCGCCTCTTCTGTGTGGCAGGGGAGCACTTGCTACTTTATTCCCATGGGGCAGACTTGGGTTCTTTGGGCACCGAGGCAACCAATGCATTGAAGGCAACCGCTAAAGGGAAACAGACGCGCCGAGCGGCCGGACTCCCAGCTCCTGTCTCTCATCTTCCCCAAACCCCAGGAAGAACCCAGCCCAGCCACAATGAGAGGGCTGGGAGATGGACGTGCACGTCCATGGGTGGCCCTGGATCTACTCACAATGGAGACGTCTTCACGTAGCTCACGTTGCCGCTGCCCTCGGGGCATTCGGGGCTGACGCACTGGAAGCCTCCACCTGTGTTGATGCACGTGGTCCCCTGGGGGCACATGGACTGCGGGCCAGCACACTCATCGACATCTGAGAATCGGGACACACAATGAGGGTGACTTGCCCTCCGTCACAGAACCCCGGGAACTTTCCAAACTCCCAACACTCATTGTGGAGGCAGGACCCAGGTGTCCAGGCTCCATGCTGCAGACATATACTGGGAAGGACTCATCCCTGGGGGGGGGGGGGTCGTGTCTTCTTCCCTTGGAGTGGGGCAGGTGACAGGGGTGCTGGCAGGCTCCAAGAATTACCAGTCCCAACACTTCCCTTAGACCAGTCCTCAGCCCAGGTGCCCTCCAGTCTCCCTTCCATGGTTGTCGCTAGAGTGGAACTCCAAGACTCAAATCTTCTGGAAGGCCTTCGTCCTCAGCCTCGCACCGTGTCAAATGCAGACACCCCCATCCAACACTGTGTGAGTTCTCTGTTCTCTTTAGAGCTATCTCATGAATCTCCACAGCTGGAGATTCTAAGTGGGAAGGGGGGTGGGGTGGGTGGATGTGTGGGCAGGTGAGCGGATGAGTGGGTGGCTGTCTGAATGCCGTCTCCTACTCTAGCCCCAGGTTGCCCACCCCTCTGAGCTCCACAGTGAAGACCCACCAGGATGCTACTGTGGAGCCACCTCTCCTCTCACACCCCCGTGTCAGCCCCTGGAGGAGCCCTGTGCCTTCTCTCCTCCACCTCTCCCCCAGGAGTTCAGAGCCCCTGTGTGGGGCCAGCTGGGCTCCCTTCTGTGTCCTCCACCAGGGAGACGTGCAGCTGGAGGCTGCAGGTCTGTCCACCCTCCTGGCGCGAAGCAGGCCTGCATTTGCAGATCCAGTGCGCCCCCAGAAGCCCACTGCAGCCCCGGGGCTCCAGGGCCTAGCACCGGGATGAGCAAGAGGAGGCCCCGCTTGGAGACCTGGCGTATCCATTGTATCTGTCCTGAGAGGAGGTGGGGAAGCAGAAAGCCCGGTTAGTGTGCACAGGGTCTCTGAGACTTGTCCAGGTGGTAAGGATGGAGGCCCGCACTTCACACACACCCTCTCCTGCCTCCTGGGTAGGAGCCACCCCCACTGCAGGCTTCCCCTGCAGAGGAGGGAGCCCTTTGGCCTGCAGTCACTCTCACAAGCCTCCACCCAGTCCTCCAGGGGGCCACTACCAGGCCAGCGGGATCCCGCACGGAGTGAAAGCTGAGCTGGTTATTTTCTGTTTGCACCCCTCCCCCCCAACACACACACACACCACCCTCTGTTCCTGGGAGGCTGATCAGTCTGGATTCTGTTCCTGGCCCCCCAGGCCCTGTGGCTTCCAGTAAATGAGAGGCCTGGGGGCTGGGATGTCCCAGCCTGGATGCAGTGCTGGTGGGGGCCCCGAGCTGTCCATTGCTGTGATCTGTCAGGCCTGGGTGCCCCTTCCTCCCACCCTGCAGGCCTAGACACAGTAGCAGCACCCCCACCTCTTGTCAGTCCTTAGGTGCTCTGCCTCCTTGGTGGCCTCGGCTGACCCTCAGACACGGCCGGCGCTGGGGAGACTGACCACACTAAGGCACGCGTGCCTGTTAGGTGCGGTGTCTTTGAGGGATGAAGTTACAGGTGCCTGTGTGGGGTTGTGGAGCCTCGTGGGGTACTCAAGATTGAAGGACATGGGTGACTGGTTGCTCTGCCTTTGGGTCTAGCCCTGGGTCAAGGCATTGCTGAGTGGGTGGAAGAGACCTTGACCTTGAAAACAGTTATTTGCATAAGGTCAGAAGAGATTGTTTGCCAGGATGGTTGAGCAACCCATTTTCCTATTTATGTAGATGACGACGTAGTCTGATCTCTGGCCCTATCGTTGGTGGTGTTTTATTAGAGATCTGACACTGATTCCCCGATCACCCCACTCCCAATTGTGAGGTCCTGGAGGGCTGTCACAGGAGAAGCAGGTGCCCTGGTGAGGAGGGCGTGCGTCACATCTGTGGTCACCTGCCTCTGCTACCGACGTCTCACTTACCCTCACAGCTCTTCCCATCAGCCAGGATCCGGTACCCACTGGGGCAGGTGCAACGGTAGGAGCCTGGGGTGTTCACACAGGCGTGCATGCAGAGCCGGGGACGCGCCTCTTGCCCGTAGAGCTCACACTCATTCACATCTGGGGACAGAAGCACCCACTGAAACTACAGGGGCCACGTAACCAGTATCCAAGATGTCGCATTCTCTGGCAGCTGTGGCTAAGTGGCTGGGCCAGGTGCAGCCATGGAGCCCTATCCCCAGCAGAGTACCCGGAAAAGGAAGTGTGCTCCCCTGCTACTGAGCCTGGGGCCTGGAGGGCTTTGAGGGAGGAGCAAAAAGAGAGCTGACAGGGCAGGCCCCAGGGGCTGCAGAGGCAGGACTGGGCTCCCAGCTTTCACAGTCTTGCTTTCTTATGGCTGCCGGTGATGTCTGCATTAGCCGCATCCTAGCAACCACTAAGTCCACACTGACTTGTAACTCAACGTAGGCAGGACTTTCTGCGCACGCCGGGCGCCGGGGAGGCCCTCCGACAAGAGGGAGGCCAGTGAGCGCCCCGGCCCCGGCCCCGGCCACGCCCCCGCCCACCCGCAAGGGCCTGGTGCCACTGCCGGCCTCCCTCCCGTGCCCGCGAAGTCCGCGCCTACCCTGGCAGACGCCGTCGCCGCCCGCGGCGCCGCTCAGATGGAATCCGGCCTCGCAGCTGCAGTGCTGTGCCCGCTCCACCTGCGCACAGCGCGGCGCGCGGCTGAAGGCGGAGTCGCCGGCCGCGGTGCCCTCGGGGGCTGCTGCAGAGGGAAGACACCGTCAGTGCCCCACCCTGATGCACCTGCTATGGGACTACCTTGGAGAGGGGCCAGGAAAAGAGCCAAGACAGGGGCTCGGCCCCTCCCCAAGGAGCTTAATCCGGAGTCGGAAAAGGAGAGACAAATTCTTAAACCGTGAACCTAAGGCCGGCGCGGCGGCTCACTAGGCTAATCCTCCGCCTAGCGGCGCCGGCACACCGGGTTCTAGTCCCGGTTGGGGCGCCGGATTCTGTCCCGGTTGTCCCTCTTCCAGGCCAGCCCTCTGCTGTGGCCAGGGAGTGCAGTGGAGGATGGCCCAAGTGCTTGGGCCCTGCACCCCATGGGAGACCAGGAGGGGCACCTGGCTCCTGCCATCGATCAGCGCAGCGCGCCGGCCGCAGCGGCCATTGGGGGGTAAACCAACGGCAAAGGAAGACCTTTCTCTCTGTCTCTCTCTCTCACTGTCCACTCTGCCTGTCAAAAAAAAAAAAAAAAAAAAACACCGTGAACCTAGCTGATCGGTCCGGTTCCCCCCGGGGGAAAGGGGGAAAGTACCCCCAATTTTTAAAACGCGGGGAGGAAGAAACTAAAATCGCTCACATGGCCCGCAGGGACGCAAAGCCCTTTTTTCCCTATAAAAACTTAAACAATTCCTAAATATCAACATTCAAGAGTTTAAAAACTTTGTTTTTTGTGTGCTTTTTTTTTTTTTTTTTTTTTGCTTCTTTTGGGGGGTAAGAGGAGCTTGGTTTCTTCTTTGTTTTGCCCTTTTCTAAAGTGTTTAATTTTTTTTATCTTTTTTTTTTTTTTTTGACAGGCAGAGTGGACAGTGAGAGAGAGAGACAGAGAGAGAAAGGTCTTCCTTTGCCGTTGGATCACCCTCCAATGGCCGCCGGTGCACTGCGCTGATCCGATGGCAGGAGCCAGGATCCAGGTGCTTTTCCTGGTCTCCCATGGGGTGCAGGGCCCAAGCACCTGGGCCATCCTCCACTGCACTCCCTGGCCTGCAGAGAGCTGGCCTGGAAGAGGGGCAACCGGGACAGAATCTGGCGCCCCAACCGGGACTAGAACCCGGTGTGCCGGCGCCGCAAGGTGGAGGATTAGCCTATTGAGCCACGGCGCCGGCTTAAAGTGTTTAATTTTTTGTTTGTTTTCACCGAGATCATAAATCCCTGTTTTTTTTTTTTTTTTTTTGACAGGCAGAGTGGACAGTGAGAGAGAGAGAGAGAGAGACAGAGAGAAAGGTCTTCCTTTTGCCATTGGTTCACCCTCCAATGGCCGCCGCGGCCGGCGCACTGCAGCCTGCCCGTCGCGCTGATCCGAAGGCAGGAGCCAGGTGCTTCTCCTGGTCTCCCATGGGGTGCAGGGCCCAAGCACTTGGGCCATCCTCCACTGCCTTCCCAGGCCACAGCAGAGAGCTGGCCTGGAAGAGGGGCAACCGGGACAGAATCCGGCGCCCCGACCGGGACTAGAACCCGGTGTGCCGGCGCCGCAAGGTGGAGGATTAGCCTAGTGAGCCGCAGCGCCAGCCCCATAAATCCCTGTTCTAATCAGAGAGACAGTGCTACTTTTGAGATTCCAAAGAATTTATAGCTCTCATCTGGTTGGTGGAGGCAGAAGACTGGGCAGTGGAAAAGGACAACCGCTGGGTGGTTCACTGAGGTGAGGCGCTGGGTGCAGCCAGGTTCACAGAGACAGGAAGGAGAACAGGGGCTGCCAGGGGCTGGGGAGGGGGGACGGAGCCAGCATCTCATGGGTACAGTTTCAGTTATGCAAGGTCAAAGAATTCCGGAGACGGCTGGTGGTGATGGCTGTACAACTGTGTGTGCTTAATGCCACTGAATCGTGCACTTAAAAATGGTTACATGGGGGCAGGTGCTGTGCAGGTAAAGCCGCCACCTGCAGTGCCAACATTCCATATGGGCACCAGTTCCAGTCCTGGCTGCTCTTCTTCCAATCCACCTCCTTGCTAATGTGCCTGAGAAAGCAGCAGAAGATGGCTCAAGTGCTGGGGCCCCTGCCACCCATGTGGGAGACCCAGAAGAAGCTCCTGATTCCTGACTTTGGTCTGGCCAAGCCATGGTGGTTACAGCCATTTGGGGAGTGATAAAGACCCCCCCCCCACACACACACCTATGGACACAATGCTACTCACCAATGCCCGCCCCCACCCCAGGCTTCCACACAGAGATAGAACCCACCAAGCTCTCTGGCAAAGGAATAAGAAATCATTTGGATTGGATGTTTTTGTAGAAGGAATCTTAGTTGCAGCCTGGTGTGGGAATCCCCATCCAGCCTCCTTGGATTCCTTGGCACTGAATTTTCTTGCTGTATGCAAACCCAGCCATGTGTGACTCCTTAGACCTGGCTGGGGATTTGTTGGTAGTCAAGATGTGAATAATAATCTCATCACTAGTTATCCAGCTCTTAAAATACTCTGGGCTGCACCTATTACTGCTTTTCTTTTTAAGATTTGTTGATTTATTTCAAAGGCAGAGTTACAGAGAGAGGGAGGGTGCGAGAAAGAGAGAGGGGGGAGAGAGAGAGATGGAGAGAGAGAGAGGGAGAGAGAGAGAGATTTTCTATCTGCTGGTTCACTTCCCAAACGGCTGCAATGGCCAAGACTGAGTCAGGCAGAAACCAAGAGTCTGGAACTCCGTGTTGGTCTCCTGCATGGGTGGCATGGGCCCAAGCACTTGGGCCATCTTCTGCTGCTTTCTCAGGCACATTAGCAGGGAGCTGGATTGGAAGAAGAGCAGCCAGGACTGGAACTGGTGCCCATATGGAATGTTGGCACTGCAGGTGGAAGTACAGCAGCTGGGACTCGAGCTGAAGCTCATATGGGATACTTACCCTGCTGCACCGGCCACGGTCACTGCTAATTCTGCAGCCTGCCATGGAAATATTTGAAAAGTCGGGGCCAGCACTGTGGCATAGCAAGTAAAGCTGCTACCTGCAGTACCAACATCCCATATCAGCACCAGTACAAGTTCCAGCTGTTCCACTTCTGATCCAGCTCCCCGCTAATGCACCTGGGAAAGCGACAGAAGATGGCCCATGTGCTTGGGCCCCTGCACCCACATGGAAGAGCTGGACGAAGTTCCTGACCCCTGGCTTCAGTCTGGCCTAGCCCCAGCCATTATAGCCATTTGGGGAGTGAACCAGCGGATGGAGGATCTCTCTCTCTTTCTTTCTTTCTTTCTTTCTTTCTTTCTTTCTTTCTTTCTTTCTTTCTTTCTTTCTGTAACTTTGCTTTTCAAATGATTTTTTTTTAAATGAAAAGTGCTCTGTCAAAAGAAATGTCAATTAAGTGAAGATGGAGACATGATGGTTCTCCAACTAAATTCCCTGTCTGGAGAGTTAGTGGATTGGGAATCGGTCCTCCCACTGTGTTTTCTTCGGTAAGAATGATCAAAACTCCGCCTACACCAACGAGCCCAGCTCCACCCGAGTGACCACCTGAAGGAACCAGCAGGATGGATGAGATGGAGGGGAAAGCCCTCATCTTCCAGTGGGGCAGCGTGTGCACTTGCCGGCCCACGGCCTGCAGCAGAGCGTTGCCATCCAGCCCCATGGAGGCGACAGACGTACCGGTCTGGGTCTGGTGCTGACACCGGCTCCCCGTCCTTCCCGGAGGACAAACGCATCTGTACTGGTTGGCTCCTTCTACACACGTTCCACCGTTTTGGCAGGGCTGGCTGGCGCAGTCACTGACATCTAGGAAAACAAACCATTTCCAAATACAAGTATGTGTGTGCTAGTTCTAAAACAGAACACAACGGGTTAACTTTATAGGCAGCCTCTAGCTTTCTACCTGCCTGCCCTGCCCCTGCCATCCTCTGTACCAGAAAGAGCTGAGCGGGGACCCCTGGGGCTGAGACACAGCCCCCTACACCTCGGCAAGCCTTACACCCCGGCCCCCTCTGCCCACCCAGCCACGCCCACCAAGTATCACTTTCCAACCTGCAGGGAGCAGTGCGCACAGCTGGAGCCAAACAGAGGTGGCAGCTGCTGGGCGCCGCCCCTCACTCAGGCCCCTTGTCCACCAACCGCAGCTCCCTCAGCCAGTGCCTGGGTAGAGCGCCTTGTACACAGGACTGACACCCGTGGGGGACGGAAAGGGAGGAGAGGATCGTCTTTTGGAATATCAGGGATGGGCATATTAATTCTCCGAATTCCCACCTGGGGGCCCTCCTTTGCTCTGCGAGGTAGGAGTCTGTTGACATTTCCTGAGCGTTTGTAAACACAGACCGTCCTCATACCCACAGCCATTCTGTGGGAAATCCACGGGGAGAGAGAGGGAGGGAGGGAGGGAGGGAGGGGGAGGGACGCACTCTCCAAGTCCAGTAGATTTTTCTCTGAGTAGTAGCTTTACAGTGATTTTTCATTGCCCACTTAGACTTCGTTGTATTCCTCCATTTTTCCCACAATAAACATTTATGTGTTTTATAATTAGAAATAAATGATTTTTAAAATATTTATTTATTGGCCGGCGCCGCGGCTCACTAGGCTAATCCTCCGCCTTGCGGAGCCGGCACACCGGGTTCTAGTCCCGGTCGGGGCGCCGGATTCTGTCCCGGTTGCCCCTCTTCCAGGCCAGCTCTCTGCTGTGGCCAGGGAGTGCAGTGGAGGATGGCCCAGGTGCTTGGGCCCTGCACCCCATGGGAGACCAGGAGAAGCACCTGGCTCCTGCCTTCGGATCAGCGTGGTACGCCGGCCACAGCGGCCATTGGAGGGTGAACCAATGGCAAAAGGAAGACCTTTCTCTCTGTCTCTCTCTCTCACTGTCCACTCTGCCTGTCAAAAAAAAAAATTTATTTATTTATTTGAGAGGCAGAGTTACAGGGGGGTAAGGAGAGACAGAGGGAGGTCTTCCATCCACTGGTTCACTCTCCAATGGCTGCAAGGGCTAGAGCCGGGCCTATCCGAAGCCAGGAGCCAGGAGCTTCTTCCAGGTCTCCCACGTGGGTGCAGGGGCCCAAGGACTTGGGCCATCTTCTACTGCTTTCCCAGGCCATAGCAGAGAGCTGGATCGGAAGTGGAGCAGTCAGGACTTGAACCGGCGCTCATATGGGAAGGCAGCACTGCAAGTGGTGGCTTTACCTGCTGCACCACAGCACAAACCCCCAAAGAGATGATTTTTTTTAAACCCCCAGAGCACCTGTGCTTGTTAGGAATTCCGTAAGCCCAGTTTATGCACAACCACGAGTTGCTTCCCCCAGAGGGAGGTTTGTAGTTCACTGACTGGACCACAGCATCTCAGGAGAGAAAATGGCACACATCTACTTGCTGGCAGAGGAAGGCTCTTTCCTGCTGTGTCTACCGAGAGGAAGAAGCAGGTGTTTGCTCCTAATGAGAAGCACAGCCTCGTGTGGGTGGATTGCAGGGGATTTGGCTTCCTTGAGGCCGCCTCGTGATGGGGATGCCGCGTAGACTGTTACATGATTTCTACCCAGCACGGAGGCCCCGGGCCGTCCAAGCACTGCTTACCCCTGGGCAAGGAGCCATCGCGCTCTCTCGGGCAGCGCAGCCTGGGTGCACTCCCTCCCAGCTGCTCTGTTTGCAGATGACCGCTTTCCAGGAAAGAAGCTGCGGTGACCCTGTGCGCAGATGCCCCGGAACTTGGAACCCCGGATCTACCATTGTCCAGCGCATGAGGCTGCTTACCGCACACCGTGAAGATGAGCAGATCCCTGGGCTGTGACTGTGACGCTGTGGCAGAGAGCCAAAAAGTGTGAACACCCAGGGGGCCCAGCGCCATTGTCCCTCCATTGGAGGCCTCGAATGGAGGAAGGCACCTGACCCTGTGGGTGGGGCTTGAAGGGGTCATTGGCTTGACAGAGGGATGCACAGGTGCCCAGGCACAGGGGTTCTGCCCCCCTCTCCGGCTCTGCCCAGGAGCCTGCTTTCTAGACAGGCCTCGCACAAGCTTGCTTCGCTTTCTTATCTTCACAGATAGTCGGCAGCATGCAATGCCCGAGGCCCAGTCTGGCGCCCCATCTGTGCTCTGATTGGCATCGAGTTGTTGTCACAGTCATGGGTGTCTGGGTAAGTGCATGACTCAACAGCTGTAGAGTGAGCACGGGCAGACGTTGTGGGAGTGGCTGGCAGGTCAAAGTCAAGGCCACACTCCTGTTTCAGTCTGTTGTTTGCAAACACTTGCTGCTTCCATGAAGCCAAGCTCACTCCGGTCTATGCGTGATCTGATGTTCGTTCTTTTCTTTCTAATTCTTTCCTGGTGCTGCTATCTCATTCCAAACGTTCCACTCCTCCAGTCGCCTCGTTTCTGAGGTTTTCTCGTTTTGATTTATGTGGTTCTTTCAAAGTTTTAGGCTTTAAAGCATTTCCTACAGCTTGTTTTGAATTCTAAGTTACAGTTTTCACCTGCTTTATGGGTACGTCTTTCTGGCGTTTCTTTATTGGCTGTAAGGATTTTATCCTCTTTCCCAGTTTGTATGAGAGTTGACAAGAGTCCTTTTCTAATCCTCATGTTTAAATACAATTAGTTTTCCTGGCTTTGCTGACCTCTGAGTCTAAAATGCCTACTCCTGGGGTGGGCATCTGGCTCCGCGGCTCACGTCACTTGGGATGCCTGTGTGACCTATCAGAGTGCCTGGGTTCAAGGCCTGGCCCAGTTCCCAATTCCACCTTCCTGTTCATGCACACCTTGGGAGGCAGCAGGTGATGGCTCAAGTAGTTGGATCCCTGCCACCCACATGGGAGACCTGGATGGAGCTCCTGGCTCCCTGGTATTTGGCAAAAGAACCAGTGAACGAGATCTTTGATTCTCTGTCTCTCTCTGCCTTTTAAGCAGATAAACTTTAAAAAATAATAAAACATGCAATTCCCACTTCTGTTTTTTTATCATTGTACTAAAAAGCAGGCCTCCCACTCCCTCAGCTGGGCTCCTTCGGCCTTCTCATGTGGACGCCTGCAGCTCCCTCGGCACGTGTGTTCCTTGTGGTGCCCGGTGTGTACCATCCTTCCATGAGTCTCTGCACTCTTGGGCTTTGAGCTGGACAGTGTGGAGGCTCCCAGGGTCAGACTCCTCCAGCAACAAAATTGTGGAAGAGACGAGCCCCTTGGGGCCAACGCTGTGGCACAGCAGGTAAAGCCAATGACTACAGTGCCGGCATCCTATACTGGTGCTGGTTCGAGTCCCAGCTGCTCCACTTCTGATCCAGCTCCTTGCTGGAAAAAAAAGCAGTGGACAATGGCCTAAGTCCTTGGGCCCCTGCCTCCCACATGGGAGGCCGGATGAGGTTCTTGGTTCCTGGCTTTGGCCATCATATGCTGCCCCCCACCCCCCAGATGAACTGGAAACAGAGACTGGGACTCAAACCAGCACTTCACTATGGGATGCTGGTGTCCCAAGTGGTAGTTTTTGTGTGTGTGTGTGTGTGAGTTTAAAATTTTCTACAATAAGAAAATATTTCAAGATGCATATCTTGATATTATTTGTGATTACAAAAACCTGAAAACAGTGGAGAGATCATTCAATAAAGCACAGAATAAGGCCAGCATTGTGGCACAGAGGGTTAGGCTGCTGCCTGTGAAATTGGATGAAAGAGCTCCCTTTCTCTCCCTGTCTCTCCTCCTCTCTCTATAACTCTGCTTTTCAAATTAAACAAACAAATAAAATTGTTTTAAAGTGTAGAGTAGCCCTTAATGGGAAATGTTTTATAAGATGCAAAGTTATGTTTAGAAAGAAGAGGTGTGGAGAATTGCTTATGTTAATATCTACACATCTCAGTTGCTTGTTGGATCTTTTTGTAGCATTCACCATGAATGCCACCCCATCACCTTTGTGTGTGGCTGCTGGATCTGCCGTCTTCCACTCGGAGAGTGAGCCCCACGTGGCTGGGGCAGCATCTGTTAGACTTGATGTTGAATCGCCAGCGTTTGCTGCAGTGTTTTGTGGATGGCTGGTGCACAGTGAAAGATGGTTGAACGGATGAAAGAAGATTTAAAAGGATGGGACGGCCAACAAAAAATCTGCCTCCCCAGCATGGCAGTGACCAAGGCACCCGTGGTTCTCAAGCTTTTTCCTTGGTTTCCTCTGCTGGCGAAGGAGAAGGCCTTTGGCTACGGTCTCCCCAGTTTGGAAAGCTTCACATCCTGAAAACATGCCCTTCAGGGGAGAGGGGAAGGATAATAACCCAGGAAGCCAAAAGGCTGCTTTCCATTCTGAAGTCTGGAGCCTACCTCCTACCACTGTGTTTCTTAATGGCATAATTGCGTGTAATTTGCTTCTACGCCAAGTTGAGTTCATCGCCCTCTGTCCAAGCAGCTGACTGAGGAGGAGGAGGACGTGAGGGACAGTTATGAAAGTGCTGGCAGATTTTTCACTGACACTGACATTTTGGGTCTTGTAATAAATCCCCTGTAATTAAAAGATTATTTCTCCCTTGTGGTTACAACGCACAGTGACTACAAGACTGGTGATCTCAAAAATAAAGCCAATGTACTCTGAGGTTCTGGGGTTGTACCCTGGACTGCTGTCCCATCCACATCAGTAATACTGTCACCACTGGCCATCGAACAGAAGGCATAAGCACCATTGCTCCCTCTTGACAAGTTTGGCTGGCACTGTCTTGAGGTTCTTATTGCAGACAACACCCATTAATCAAATAAATTCCTGCTGAGAACAGAAGTGTCAACACGGGTTCAGTCTACTAACTTGGGAGACGCCAGATCCAGCAGCTGGTTGTGTTGTACAAGTGTTTTTACTGGGTCGCCATCAACAGCTCCCATGAAATGAAAAATATCCATCTGTGATCTCAGCGTGGACTGGCCACCATCTTCTACCCTGAGCCAAGCCTTCCCAAATTTTAGACAGTAAATACAGCCTTGGTAGAGGCCCCACGTGGGCTGTACCAGATGGATCCTCTGGTGCGGAGGCCAGGGAAGAAGGACCAAGGTCCGGGGAGGATGCTGGGGTGGGAGAAGGCAAGGAACACAAGGCGAATCTGGAATGAGCTGGCAAGTTCAAGGGCAAGAGTCACAGGCAGGGCTACACGGGGGCCTAGGGAAGGGCAGCAGATTTGCTGTCCTAGCTTGGCAGGTGGGACCACCCATGCCACACAGCGGTCTTCCAGGGAAATTCTGACCTCCACAACCCAGGAAAAGAAGCTGTGCTCAGTGGGGCAGAGCCCAGCAGCAAACACACATGGGGTACACACATGGGGTACGCACTCGGGCTACTGTGGGCCTGCAGCTGTAGCCATTCCAGTTAGTAGAAACCCCGAGTGATTGGTGCTTCAAGACTCTCCACATCTTTTCTGCTTCCAGCCACAGCAAGAACAAACAACGGGGCGTTTCTCAAAAGGTAGTTAACCTCAGTAATGCCTAAGGAATATATGAGATGCAGCTTTCCTAAGTCTTGTCTACGAAGACCCAGGCGTTTTGCAGGCCCGGGGTCTACCCTTTACAAGCTTTCTGGGGAGTGCGGAGCACCTGGGAGTTTGAGAAGCACAGCACTCAAGTCGAGCTTCAGCGGGGTCCTCTTTCTCATGGAGGGGGTCCTGCTGCCGTGAGGGAGGTGCTAATGCATGGGCAACATGGAGCGGCAAGGCCCGGCCCAAGGACAACAAGGGGGCTGGCAGGCACACACAGGATCCTTAGGGCGGCATCAGCAAGCCGCCAAGGTGGGGCTGGGCTGTGCAGGTGCTGTGCTGTGAGCATCCCTACCTTGGTCAAGCAACTACTTCTATGCTGGGTTCCTGGGTTCTCCAATGCTTTGTGTCTCTCTGCCTAAAAACATATTCTTGGCCGGCGCCGTGGCTCACTAGGCTAATCCTCCGCCTTGCGGCTCCAGCACTCCGGGTTCTAGTCCCGGTCGGGGCGCCAGATTCTGTCCTGGTTGCCCCCCTTCCAGGCCAGCTCTCTGCTGTGGCCAGGGAGTGCAGTGGAGGATGGCCCAAGTGCTTGGGCTCTGCACCCCATGGGAGACCAGGATAAGCACCTAGCTCCTGCCTTCGGATCAGCACGGTGCACCGGCCGCAGTGGCCATTGGAGGGTGAACCAACGGCAAAGGAAGACCTTTCTCTCTGTCTCTCTCTCTCACTGTCCACTCTGCCTGTCAAAAAAAAATATTCTTTCAGCTGTCTTCTCTGACAAATTCATCTTTTCCCCTCAACCACAGGAAGCTCACTGTCAATGCTGAGCAAGAAAGAAAAACAGCACATGGGTAAAATGTGTTTCTGCCTGTAGCACCATTGGGGCAACGTGGCCTGGCACAGCCCTTCCGAAAGGCAACATGGCAGTGGTAATTTAGCAGGGGTGGGGAACCTTTTTTCCGCCAAGGGCCATTTGGATATTTTTAACATCATTTGCAGGCCATTCAAAATGATCAACTTAAAAATTAGCTTGCTGGGACTGGCGCTGGGGCATAGCAGGTAAAGCCACCGCCTGCAATGCTGGCATCCCATATGGGCATCCGTTTGAGTCCTGGCTGCTCCACTTCTGACCCAGCTCCCTGCTAATGCACCTGGGAAAGCAGCAGAGAATGGCCCAAGTACTTGGGCTCCTGGACCCACGTGGGAGATTTGGAGGAGGCTCCTGGCTCCTAGCTTTGGCCTGGCACAGCTCTGGCCAATGTGGCTATTTGGGGAGTGAACCAGCAGATGGAAGATCTCTCTGTCTCTCCCTCTCTCTCTCTCTCTGTAACACTGTCTTTCAAACAAACAAATAAATAAATATTTAAAAAAATTAGCCTGCTATGGATTTACTGAATTTTGCGTTGCACCTGCAGTTGCCCTGGTTGGCAGGGCCAGACCACACAATTTTGCGGGCCTTATAAGTCAAACATTCCCCACTGCTGGTTTAAAGGAATTGAGTGTGTGCCAACAAGCCCCCAACTCCAATCCAGATTCACTGCCCAAAAACAAAGCAGGGAGATAAGATGCTCCGCCAGCATTGTTTATGGTGGCCCGGGGTTCACTGCTACCTCGCAGCCACCACAGCTACATGGAGGAGAAGTGTGGGGTGCACCCCATGGAGCACAGGGCAGGCATCGGAGGCAGATGGCCTCACGGATGAGACCTGAAAGTGTTCAGTGGACCAAGAAAGAAACCAACTCGGGTGGACTGTTGGATCTGTACATTACAAAAACACACCCCTGAGGCTGGCGCCGTGGCGTAGCGGGTTAAAGCCCTGGCCTGAAGCACCAGCAACCCATATGGGCACTTGTTCTAGTCCTGGCTGCTCCACTTCCGATCCAGCTCTCTGCTATGGCCTGAGAAAGCAGTAGAAGATGACCCAAGTCCTTTGGGCCCTGCACCTATGTGGGAGACCCAGAAGAAGCTCCTGGCTCCTGGCTTTGGATAGGTGCAGCTCCGGCCATGGCGGTCATTTGGGGAATGAACCAACGGAAGGAAGATCTTTCTCTCTGTCTCTCTCTCACTGTCTAACTCTATCTGTCAAAAAAAAAAAAAAAAAAAAAAGAAAGAAAGAAAGAAAGAAAGAAACTTTATGCTCCTACCTCCACCACCATGGTTTATCACCCGCTTAACCTGGACTGAGAGGGTGCAGGGTCAAGGGTAACTGGCAGATCTTTGCGTCTCCCCGGACATATCTGCAGAGCATTTGACTCGTACTTCCTGGCTGGTTCGCAGTCAGGTCTGGGGGCTGCCACCTGCAATCAACCTTCAAACACGGCTCTCCCCGGGAGATAGGTAGGGAGCCCCAAAACTGCGCATGTGGCTCAGGCTGCCCTGCGCTTCCTGTGTCACCCTGCATTCGTCATTAGAGGCGGCATCTTTCCTGGGGTTCCTGTTTTTCAACTTATTTACACATTCAGAGTCCTCCGTGCACCACCCCGTGTGACTGCCTCATTGTGCTGTTCCTGTTGCTCCGTGAACTCCAACATCATGACATTCTGCCCCAAGCAGACGTCTTGTGAATCTCACAGGCATCTGTGACGTTTTAACCACGGACTTTTGAAAATCCAATGGATTCATCAGGGCCAAGTCTGATGTTGCTCTCTATCAAAAGGCACTGGTTTCAAACCTAGTGCACAGACAGAAACCTTTGCAAGCCTTCCCCTCGCCTCTGTGGGTTTTCTTGAGCCCACACCAAGCCCCCATGCAGACAGAAAGGACCCCCGAGGAATTTCTTCAACCCAATAGGAAGCTAGTGGCCCTGCAAACAAACGGTACGGAGCAGCCACGAGGAGTGTCTCCCGGAAGTACCCTGCTCTTGTCCCTCTCCCCAGCCACAAGCAGCTTCTGTCCTCCTCATGCCAACAACCAGTCACCAGCAGCCAGGGCAGAGTCAGCTGCTGGGGATCAAAGACCCAGGTCAGAAGTGGCTCGGAGTGAATCAACTCAGCTCTGCCACAGCTGTGTGACCTCATGCAAGTTCCTTAACCTCTCTGTGCCTCAAACAAGAACTGTTGTGCAGGTCTGGTGAGCTCATGCATGCAGACAGTAACCCAGGAGGCAGGTGATGGGGTACCTGGGCTGCTGTTCTGCAGTCAAGGAATGATTAGGGAAGCAGGAGAAAGTGCCCCAAGGTTGGATGAGCCTTTCTACCCAGCAGGCCCCCGCTGCACTGTGAGGGGTGGAAGCTGGTGGGCTGGGAAGACAGGGGGCGAGCGGGGGTGGGCAATACCTTTGCAGTGGGGCTGCTCCCCCGTCCAGGTGCCGTTCGGAAGACACACCACGCTGCTGGGCCCAACCAGCCGGAACCCAGGGTTGCAGGCAAAATGGACTTCGTGATCCACTAAGTACTTGCTTCCAAACTTCCTGCCATCCGAAGGGGCATTCAGAGCTGGGCAGGAAACTGAGGAGACAAGGGAAGATTAGGGGTGCCTCTTCCTGCACCCCACTTAGCACCATCAGCCCCAGGCTTTGAGTGCCTGCCGCAGGCTGCACATCGGGTGGGACACTCCCCTTTTTCAAAGTTATTTAGTTAGTTGAGAGGCATAGAGGCAGAAAGTTAGAGAGACAGATAGGCAGCTCTTTTCTGCTGGTTCGCTCACCGAACCCCTGCCGTGACAGAGGCTGGGCCAGACCCAAGCTCAATCCAGGTCTCCCACGTGGGTGGCCAGAATCCAACTTCTGCCTCCCAGTGTGTCATGGGGAAGGAGCCAGAGCTGGTATCGACCCCAGGCACTCTGCTGTGGCCTGCCTCTTCACTGTCAGGCCAAACACCCACCTTGGGCTGCACGTTTTTAGTGCTGTGTGTATAATGTGTATGTCTCATTGGAGTCTCAAAACACTCTTAGGGGTGGCTAGTACAATGCCCACTTAGTGAAAGATGAGGCAACCAGGGCTCAGAGAGAGGCTCTGGGCAGTGTGTCCAGGCCTCAGAGCAAGGGGCAGTCGGAGCAGGGATGCCCCAGAGGTGTGGCTGATGCACCCCATCACTGCCACCCACCTGCTCTACTTTCTCGGAGCTGCAGCCCCACGAGGTTGGTTTGGGTCTCCTGGGCAGGCCAGGCTGGGACCACCTATAGGCTTGGATGTTTGTTCTCTGTCTAGCTCCTTCTTGCTCTTTAGGTTCCCATTCGAATGCCACCGCCTCCTAGAATGTCCCTGGACCAGCAAGCCCAGCCAAGACCTCCCTGGGCCCTCCGTAACCCTTGGGCTCCCTTCATGGCCCTCTCAGCATCTGTCACCATGGGTGCTTCTCGCTGGTTTGCTATTTCCCCGTGTTGTCAGTGTTCCCCATCAGGATGCAGCCCGCCTCTGCCCTTGCTGGGTTCCGGCACCAGCCAAGTGCTGGACCTGCAGGGCAGGCCCCATAAATAATTCTTTTTCCAGAAAATGTACTCATTTTATTTATTGGAGAGACAGATAGAGAGAGAGAGCTCGCATTTGCTGTCCCCAAATGCCTGCAACAGGCAGGACCGAGCTGGGCGGAAGCCGGGAGCAGGGAATTGAATCCAAGCCTTCCACACGAGCAGCAGGAACACAGCTTCTGGATCCATCGCTGCCGCCTCCCAGGGAGCATTAGTAAAGAAGCTGGAATCCGGAGCAAAGCCAGGACCCAACTCAGCTGTTCTATGTGGGACGTGGACCTCCCAAGCAGCAGCTTACCTGCCAGGCCAAATACCCACCCCCATGAATAATTCTTAAACAAATGAAAGAATGAAGCATTAATTATAGAGTTCTACCATGTGCCAGGCTCCATACTAGGCACTTGGGATGTGCCAGTAAATAGACAAGATCCAGGCCTCAAGAGGCACACCTTGGAGCTGGGGAGATAATAAATCGTCCATGAGCAATGGCAGAGTGGGATGAGGTTCATGAAAAGAATAGCAGGTAATGGTGTTAGAAATGCACAATTCTGAATATGGCAGTCAGGGCAGACCTCACTGGGACAGAGTTGAAAGGGATGGTGTTCCCATAGAGGTATCTGGGAAAGGCAGAGGGAACACTCAGTGCAAAGGCCCTGGGGTAGGCGTATGCCTCGCAGTCTGAGGAATGTCAAGGACTCCACCAGGACTGGACTGGACTGGGGCAGACGAGGGGGAGAGTGCTTGGGATGAGTCAGGCAACTGGGAGCAAGAGAGAGCAAGAGGAGAGAGAGAGAGAGAGAGGGAGCGAGCACAGAGTTACATAGTGCTTTGCAAAGCGAAGATGAGGCCACACAACCTGTTCTGCACACAAAATCAGGCCATTTGGAAGATCTGCAGTGAGGAATGGAGAGACCATATGCCCCCAGGCCAGACAGCCGGGTCCTGCACAGAGCAGCCACGGCCACCGGTCCTCTAGGGGCTCCGGGGACGATTTCATCCTTGCGGCATTGCCAGCCTTTAGGAAAGCCCCAAGGTGTGAGAGGAAAGCCAGTGAGGGCTCTTATCCCAAGGTGCTGGCACCCCCACAGCACTGCCTCAGCCTCTGAAATCAATGGCTGTACAGTGCCTTTTTAAAGATCTGGTTGTTTGCTGTATTACGAGGGGTTTCAATCTTTTGGGGGGAAGCAGTAAGGTCCTTTTGGGAATGAGAAATCGTAAAAATGAAGAAAAGCTACCTGCTGGAGGAGCACCTGGATCCACCAAACCTGACTTAACTGGACAATCCCTGGCACACAGCAGGTGCTCACTAAACCTGGGTGCCGTGAGTGAGTGGGTGCCGATCCACTCCTAATCAGAGCCCAGGACTTCTGCTCCTCTCCTGGGGGATGAGGATGAGCCCCGTGGCTGGTTCATTTCCCTCTGAGCATGGCCCAGGGGGTGCAGGAGCCACGGCACAGCTCCTGCACCTTTGGAGCGAGGTGAATGTGTGAGGAGCCTCATTGGCAGGTAAGCAGTCACAGAGATTAGAGGTGTGAATGGAGGCCGGCGCCACGGCTCACTAGGCTAATCCTCCACCTTGTGGCACCGGCACACCAGGTTCTAGTCCCGGTCCGGGCACTGGATTCTGTCCCAGTTGCCCCTCTTCCAGGCCAGCTCTCTGCTATGGCCTGGGAGTGCAGTGGAGGATGGCCCAGGTCCTTGGGCCCTGCACCCCATGGGAGACCAGGAGAAGCACCTGGCTCCTGCCATCGGATCAGCGCGGTGCGCCAGCCACGGCGGCCATTGGAGGGTGAACCAACCGCAAAAAGGAAGACCTTTCTCTCTGTCTCTCTCTCTCTCTCACTGTCCACTCTGCCTGTCACAACATTCAAATCTAAAAAAAAAAAAAAAAGGTGTGAATGGAATGAGTAGGTATGATGCTCCTCCGGAAGAAAGGCTGGAAAAATAAGGGTGGGGGGTGTTCAGCACGGAAACCGGAAGAGGAAGACAAGAATTCCTCAGGACTGGACATTTGTTCTCCTTGACTCCCAGAAAATGCCTTTAAACAGCAACCATAGAACAAAGGTATTTTCCTCACTGCTTGCCATCTGAGCTGGGGCAGGTGTCTGGCTGGCCCCGAGGAGCAGGTGCAGGTGCCCATCCACTCTGCCCTGGGATCCTGACAGTGGCCTGCCCTCGGCACAGCTGTCACAGGAAGTACCATGTCTAACACCCATGGTGAGAGACACATTTTGAGTGGCCAATAATTAAAAAGAGAATTTGCCACATTTTAAAGTCTAGCATGTTGCAGGGAAGAAAGACCCCAAATGTGGGGATGAGGCAATGGATAATGGAATCATAGCTTCCTCTGTCTCTGTCTCGTGGACAGGGCCAGCTAACATGGGCACAGAGGTTTTGAAAATTATTCCTGGGGTGGGCCTTTGATGCATCAGTTAAGACACTGTTTGGAGAATCTCACCCTGTAGTAGAGTGCCTGGGTTTGAGTCCTGACTCTGCTTTCAATTCCAGTTTCCTGCTGATGCAACCCCTGGGAGACAGCAGCTGATGGCTTTGAGTACTTGGCTTCCTCCGCTCACGGGGAAGACCCAGATTGGCTCATGGCTTCAGCTTTGTCTCACACTGGCTATTGCAGGCTTCTGGGGAGTGAACCAGCAGATGGGAGAGCCCTCTCTCTCTCTCTCTCTCTTCTCTCTCTCGAGCTTTCTGCTTTATAAATAAAAAACAAAAAAATTCATGCTTTTTTTTTTGACAGGCAGAGTGGACAGTGAGAGAGAGACAGAGAGAAAGGTCATCCTTTGCCGTTGGTTCACCCTCCAATGGCTGCCGCGGCTGGCGTGCTGCGGCCGGCACACCACGCTGATCCAAAGGCAGGAGCCAGGTGCTTCTGGTCTCCCATGGGGTGCAGGGCCCAAGCACTTGGGCCATCCTCCACTGCACTCCCGGGCCACAGCAGAGAGCTGGCCTGGAAGAGGGGCAACCGGGACAGAATCCGGCACCCCGACCAGGACTAGAACCCGGTGTGCTGGCACCGCAAGGCGGAGGATTAGCCTAGTGAGCTGCGGTGCTGGCCAAAATTCATGCTTTCATTCAAAAATTAAAATAAATGATTCCCTGCGGCTTGTCTAGGAACAGCAATGAGCTCTGACCCCCGTGGAAACAGGAAGGCTCTGCGGAGTTGAGCCTTTAACAGGAAAACAAAACAAAAAAAAACAAGGACCTATAGCTGCTAACCTGCTTCTTGTGGCCTCAGTTTCCCCATCTGTAGCAGGAAGGAAGGCGGCCCTGCCTGCCTCGTGGGCTTTGTGTGTGGTGAACCCTGCGTGGACTGGGGCCTCCTAGCACCTTGGGAAGTGTGTGGTTTGGCTGGCAGGTCTGGGCCTGCTCCTGGGAAACAGGAGCAGATCCAGGGCTGGTGAGATTCTGGATTTGCTACCCTAACCCCTGCCATGGTAGAAAACCTGATGCCTTTCCCGCAAACTTCATCCCACTCCACAGAGAGGGTGCTTAATGCACGGCCCTGCAGTGAGCAAGTGATGGTAGATACTCCACAGGCTCGGGACTCAGAACAACTGGGAGGATGACCCCCTGCCCGAGGGGCCAGAGGAAAGCCAGCCACCACCTCTGGGTCTGGCCCATGTGAAAGTTGTTACCAGGGCAACCAGGAGAAAGCCCCCAAGAGGAAGCATGGGGGGCCCACTACAGCCTCATAACACATAAGGTGACCTTGTCCTTGACAACTCCTCCACCCAATGTAGGATGTATTTTTATTTTTTATAATATTTCTTTTTATTTATTGGAGAGAGAGAGAGCGAGAGAGAGAGAGAGAGAAACAGGTCTTCCATCGGCTAGTTCACTCCCTTAAGGGCGGCAACTGCTGAGGCTGGACCAGGCTGAAGCCAGAAGCCAGAAACTCCATCCAGGTTTCCCATGTGGATGCAGGGGCCCAAGCACTTGGGCCATCTTCTGCTGCCTTCCCAGGCCCGTCAGCAGGGAGCTGGATCGGAAGCGGAGCAGCCAGGACTCGAACCAGCAGCTTAACCCACTGGGCCACAACAGCAGTCCCTGCCATGTTGGTTCCTGGACAGTCACAGTGAGCACACGGGTTCGGGATGGGGCTGAGGATGTGTATGGGGAGGGGTGTGGAGGCAGGCACTCTTTGCCTCCACTCCATTTGGCTATGAACTGCTCAAAAAAAAACAAAGTGTTAAATGAAAAACAGAAACAAAACCCAAACAGAGGCCGACTATGGTTCTACCTGGCGGGGATAGAGAGAGGGGAAAGGAGCTAGCGCTCTGAAAGGGGTGCCTTTGGGGGACTCTGTGACCGCTGGTAAGCCTGGAACGCAAAGGTAGAGAGGAAACATGCAGGCCGGGGCACTGCCACCAACGTGGGCGGCAGGAGGAAGGCAAGGCGTGGCCCGGGGGATGTGGGTGGGGCGAGAGTCCCCTGCTGCCTCGGGCACCCACCTGGGGGCGCGTCCGGGGCCACCTTGCTCACAGAGCTGTGCAGCGCGGCCAGCCGGCTCTTCATGCTGCGGATGCCCTCGGCAAAGCGCGTCTCCTGGCCCTTCAGCAGCTGCTGCAACTGGCGGATGGCCGTGAGGAGCTGCGGCTTGTTCAGACAGTTCTGGGGAGAGAAGAGACCTCACCGTGGGTCACTCGGGGCTTCCAGAAGTCACCCCAACACCCTCGCGGCCCACTGAGCACGAGGCGGAGGCCACCTCCCAAGGTCACGCCCCCCTCCCGCCCCATCCCCAAGGACACACACTGTAGCCCCTCCTCGCCCTCAACAAACACAGAAGGGGCAGGAGGGAGGGCTCTGAATGACGGGGTAGCTGAACACTTATTTGAATCACTTCTCCGTTCCTCCATGCAACATGCTGGCTAATTTCTCACTCTAAGTTAACCCCTGGAAATCTGGACCCTGGTAAAATGTTTCTTTCTCTCTGCCATGGACTTTTTTTTTTTTTTTTAATTGTTTAATTATTTGAAAGGCAGAGAGAGAGGTAGACAGAGAGATACACAGAAAGAGAGACCTCCCAACCACAGGTTCACTCCTCGAGTACCCGCAAGAGCTGGGGCTTGACCAGACCAAGCCAAGAGCTGGAAACTCAATGCAGTTCTTGCACATGAGAGGCAGGGACCCAAGCACTTGAACTGTCCATCACCTGCTGCCTTCCAGGGTACACATCAACCAGGAGCTGGAATCAGGAGTGGAACCAGGACTTAAAGCTGGGAACTCCAACGTGGGATGTGGGCATCCCAAGTGATGTCGGAACCACAGTGTGCAAACGCCACCTCTCTCCTGGGCACTTTTAAAAAGCAAATGCATGGCAAAATATAAAACGGGCAAAACAGGGGTGCCCAATGGCCCCTATGCTTTTAAAAATACAACTGTCAAACAACAACAACAACAACAACAACAAAGAAGCAATCACGTTCAAAATGTATTTAGTAAGTCAACACCCAGGGGCTGGCACCATGGCTCACTTGGTTAATCCTCCACATGCGGGCCGGCGCCGCGGCTCAATAGGCTAATCCTCCGCCTGCGGCACCGGCACACTGGGTTCTAGTCCCGGTTGCCCCTCTTCCAGACCAGCTCTCTGCTGTGGCCTGGGAGTGCAGTGGAGGATGGACCAAGTCCTTGGGCCCTGCACCCGCATGGGAGACCAGGAGAAGCACCTGGCTCCTGGCTTTGGATCGGTGCTGCGCCGGCCGTGGTGGCCATTTGGGGAGTGAACCAACGGAAGGAAGACCTTTCTCTCTGCCTCTCTCTCTCACTGTCTATAACTCTACCTGTCAAATAAATAAATTTAAAAAAGTCAACACCCAGTTCTGATGATTTTTTAAAAGGCATTAAAAAAAAAAAAAACAGGAAAAAAGGATTCTGTTCATCACAGATAAAGACAACTTGAATTGAAACAACTTGAGCTTCCTGCTTAATGATAGAAGTGTCCAGGTTTTCAATCCCAATTGCCCTTAAAAACCAGGAAAATGAAATGGAGTAAAGAAGGGAATCCAGTAGGGAGGGATGGAACCTCCTCCTTGTGAGGCGGGCACGGACGTGTGAAGGGGTTGCATGGTTTCTCCTTTTCTTGTTTTACTTGGGAGACACAAAGAGAGAAAGAGAGCGCGCCTCTCGGTGGTTCATTCCCCAGATGCCTGAGACAGCCAGGGGGACTGAAGACGGAGCTGGGACACAATGTAGGTCTCCCATGCGATGGCAGGGATCCAGCTACTTGGCCTTTGCCACTGCCGCCCAGGGTCTGTATTAAGCAGGCATCCTAACCAGCAGGGTAACTGATGGGCTGAACTCCTGCGTATTACAGCAGCACCGCCTCCTCTCACCTGACTCACATCACCTGGGTGCAAGGAAGAAGACCCGCCACCATGGTGACGATGGTTGGCCTTTGGAATAGCTTGCGGCTCCTGTTCATTTAATTCTTACACTTCGTTTTATTCTACACTGAGTGGAACAAAATGCAGAATTGTAATCAATCTCCTGAGAATCCGTGGTGGCTGGGGCAGCGGGGAGGCACGTGCCGTCTTCAGCCAGGGCAGCTCCAGGCACGCTCAGCAGAGCTGCCACCGTGGCCACCACCGCACCGGAAACGCAGCCGCTGCCGGTGCCCGGGGAGGCTGCCAGGCCGCCGCACCTGGGCGCTTTCACCAAACGGATGACTCACTGGCAGGATTCAGTGGACGCTTTTGACAAAGTTGAATCCCCAGTTGCCCCTGAAACTTGCTACTCCACGGGGCTCCTTGCCGGATGAGGCTTAGCCCCAAACGCAATTGCTGGGAAGACAAATTTCGTTTGTTGTCCTCCCTCCTCTCCCATTGTGCTCCACCCCACACAGGTCTTGCAGCAACCAGGCAGGGGCCTCCTGCAATCCCCGACCTGCCCAGCATTGGACAATGAACCCAGCCAGACCAGAGTTCCCACAACCACATGTCTGCCTTTCAAAACAGAAGTGGAGAGGCCAGTGCTGTGGTATAGTGGGTAAAGGTACTGCTTGGGGCGCTGGCATCCATAAAAGCACCAGTGCGTGTTCTGGCTGCTCCACTTCCGATCCTGCTCCCTGCTTATGGCCTGGCAAAGCAGTGGAAGATGGCCCAAGTGCTTGGCCCCAGCACTCGTGTGGGAGACCTGGAAGAAGCCCCTGGCTCCTGGCTCAGTCCTGGCTGCTGTGACCACTTGAGGGGTGAACCAGTAGATGGAAGATCTTTCTGTGTGTGTGTGTGTGTGTGTGTGTGTGTCTGTGTCCCTATCTCTCTGCAACTCTTCCTTCCTCCCTCCCTCCCTTCTTCTTCTTTCTTTTAATATTAATTTATTTGAAAGGCAGAATTACAGAGGCAGAGGTAGAGAGAGAGGGAGGTCTTCCATCTGCTGGTTCACTCCCCAAATGGCTGCATTGGCCAGAGCTGGGCCAATCCAAAGCCAGGAGCCAGGAGCTTCTTCAAGGTCTCCCACGTGGGTGCTGAACCCAAAAGTCTTGGGCCATCTTCTACTGCTTTCCCAGGCCATAACAGAGATCTGGATCAGCAGTGGAACAGCTGGGACTCGAACTGGTGCCCATATGGGATGCCGGTACTGCAGGCAGTAGCTTTACTGGCTAGCCACAGTACCAGCCCCTGTAACTCTGACTTTCAAGTAAATAAAAACATCTTAAAAATATAAAAAACAGAAGAGGAGCTGCTTCTGTAGATTCTTTTTTTTTTTTTTTTAAGATTTATGAGAGGCAGAGAGAGAAAGAGAGGTCTTCCATCCAATGGTTTACTCCCCAACTGGCTGCAACAGCTAGAGCTGGGCTGATCCGAAGCCAGGAGCCAGGACCTTCTTCTGGGGCTCCCATGTGGGTGCAGGGGCCCAAGCACTTGGGCCATCTTCTACTGCTTTCCCAGGCCATAGCAGAGAGCTGGATCGGAACTGGAGCAGTTGGGTCTCGAACCGGTGCCCATATGGGATGCCAGCGCTTCAGGCCAGCGCTTTAACCCACTGTGCCACAGCGCCGGCCCCTTCTGTAGATTCTTACGTGGTTACTGTACTTCTCTGCTTCTTCAGAGAGTACTTCAGCTACGGATTAGCAGCAGTCCGGTAAAGAAGGTGAGGGGTTGAATCCACCTCACAGATGCCGATGCACAGTCTGAGGAGGGGCGGAGCCAGGCCAGGAACCTGTGACTGCCACCTCAGCCCCTGGCCCCACAGGGACGGTCTCATTTGTCCTCACACACCCCTGGGTGCCACAGTCTTCTTGTTGAGTTTGCTCTAGGGAATGGCAACTGGAAGGGGGTGTGTTTGGAGGGAGGGGCCCATTTTCCACCTGGCCAATGGGCGGCCAAACTGTCCTAGCCTCAGTGCCGCTGGCTCCCAGCACAACTGTCCTCTGGTCCTAATGGCATTTCCTGTCCTGGGGTGCCCCACGGGGCCAGCTGCTGCCCCCAGGTGCACAGTAGGAGTGGGATGTGCTCATCCTGCTAGCTGAACTGAAAAACCTTAGAACCCGTTTAAGACCAAGCAAGCTAAGGACTGCCCGGGTGGTATAGTGGCGGGGGAGGGGGTGTTGTGGGGTGACTTGCTGCCAGATGTTCTGAACTCTGGTCCATCCCAGAGTCTGACTTCTCAGGGGTCCCGCTAACAAATCCGCGTGCTTCCAGGAAGATCCCTGGTGCACCGCCATGTGCCAGCATGCCGGGGTCAGAGCTGGGGTCAGAGTCGGGGCCCAGGAAGCAGAATCCCTGCCTTCAGGGCAAGGTTGGCGGGCCTGGGCTACAGTGGATCCTAACAGGGCAGGTCCCTTTGCCCAATGTGCTGGAAGTTCAGCCCTTGGGAGCCATGCTCAGGGTCTGCCCTGTAGTCAGTGCAGGCACAGGCAGAACTGAATTTGTCTGCAGAGCTGGGTGACAAGGTTGGAATTCTTACATCCATGTCAAACCCTCAAGAGATTGCATTTTGGGGACAGATGAGGTCATGGGAGGGGGACTGAGAACCCAAATGCTCCCCTCCTTTTTGTTAAAGATTTATTTATTTATTTGAAAGGCAGAGTGAAAGAGAGGGAGAGACAAAGAGACAGATCCTCCATCCATTGGTTCACTCCCTAAATGGTCACAACAACTGGGGCTGGGCTCAGCCTAAATCAGGAAACAGGAATTCAAAGCAGGTCTCCCGTGTGGGTGGCAGGGGCCCAAGGAATTGGACCATCTTCAGCTGCCTTCCCAGGTACATTAGCAGGGAGCTGGATTGGAAGTGGAGCAGCCGGGACTGGAACCAGCACTCCAACATGGGACGCCGCCTGCATTGCAAGGGGCAACCCAACCTGCTGAACCACAATGCTGGCCCCATGTTTTTGCTTGGTCATAATAAAAAGCATATTCCCTTCAAAATAATCTGAAACAAAGAAGAACAATTCTCATGGCCAGAGACAACCACCAGTGACTTTCTGTTCAGCTTTCACTTTGGGGTTAGACCCACGTGTGCCCACGCACAAGTGCCGTGTTGCATGGCCAGGACTGGAGGATGCAGGTCGTACATCAGCCCCAGGTCCCACATTTCCCTGCATTTCCAGGGTGGCGTCGGCATCACGTCCATGAGCAGAACAGCCCATCGGACTCCTGGGACTCAACCCCACT